TGAGTTCGTTCATTCAGGGTGAAATTTGTAACAAAAAATGTTTTAAAAATTATATATGTAACTCAATTTGAAGTATAGCTATATACTGACTGCTACATTACCCCAGAATATATGTACACAATTTATGTAAGTATACAAGATAAAATTGGTGTCCTTATAATTTTAATTAAAAAATACCCTCAAAGTCTTATTTATTGTTAGAACTAAATATATAATTTTATAGCTCTGTTACCCAGTATTCATCTGTAACCAGATTGCTATCATTGCTTTTATATTTTTAAATTGGTCTTTTTAGAGACCTGTAATCCCCATGGAGCTTACTTTTTTTTATTCAATGTTTAGGTAACAGTTACAAATTCATGTGCTGAGGGTGGTATTATAGAAATACTTCATAACCCTCTAATGTTATCAAGAATATTTTGAGGGGACAATTATAGTGTATTTTCTCAGATAAGGAAAATGTTTTTTTAAAGAATATTTTAATCTTCTGTTTTAAGCGTCTCTTTGATTTCCATTGTAACTGTATATAAAGCAGTGAAGCAAAGGAAATTTCAGATAAAGCTAAAAGTAGGAACATTTTATTTCAGAATCATGTGAATTGATATTGTCAGTTAAGCCTCAGTGTTTTTAAGCTTTTGTTAATCTTGTCACCATCTTTATATTGTTAAAGATATTTGTCTTTTGGAAGTTTCCTATAAAGAATCTTATAATTACATGCTTCATTCCCAATTTATGTGTGTGTGTAGGAGGGGACTTTTTAAGATGACTATTAATTGTTTCATACATCAAATTTTGGTAGAGTAAATATATAATACATTTTCTTGTGACTTCTTAATATTTTTGTTTGTGTGTTTTTCAAAGATACCACTGTCTTTTATCATGTTTTGAAGATTGTTTAAAATTCATTTTCCTAAATTCATGTGGGAATGGTTTGAGAATATCAACATTTTATATTAAACATATTTACAATTCGTTAGATTGAGGTATAATTTTTTAAAGAAATGTGTGCGTCTTAGAAATAAATTTTGAGTTGTACAGTGGCCAGTGCATATCATGTGGCTGATGCTTAGATTAATTTTCCTTTCTGTTTTAACAAGCATATTGCTAATTTGATTGTCAGTTCAGGAAACATTTGGCAATTTTCTAGTTACAATAAAATGAATGATAGATCTTCTGAATTCTTTATAGTATAATGGGAGAAGTGGACATATGAACGAACAGTCTTAATATTCCCTGATAAAAGCAATCATACAGTTTCTTTGGGAGCACAAGCACGCGCTAGGGAGAGGGAGAGGTGGTAAGAGGGTTGTCAGTGGACAGGGAAAACCTTCCTGAAGAAGTATTACTATTTTTAATTCACAACTCTTGGGGTTAAAAGTAAAATGATAGCTTTTCAAAAATATGTTTTTATTGAGTTTTAGAGAGAGAGGAAGGGAGAGGGGATAGATAGAAACATCAATGAGAGAGGAACATCATCAATCAGCTGCCTCCTGCACACCCCCTACTGGGGATCGAGCCTGCAACTTGGGCATGTGCCCTGACTGCGAATCAAACCAGTGACTTCTTGGTTCCTGGGTCGACATTCAACTGCTGAGTCACACCAGTTAGGCAAAGGTTAGCTTTTAAAAAAGAGTGATATTCAACCACCTTAGAAAAAGTTTATTAAAGTGAATTGATTAAATCAGCTTATCTTTTTTGTTAGGGAGAAAACAGGTACAGACTCATCATACAGAGCCCTTTCTAAACTTGTTTCTATCTTTATCCTCATCTTTCCACTCTGACCTACTTTTAGTCATATAAAATTATTACTTTATACTTTAATTACTTTTGGCTTAACACCAAGCTTAAGCCTTTTATTTGTAGGAAATTACCTTGGGTTTTCTTTTTTTCAATATTGTTTCTTAGGAAATGTACTGAGCTTAAATAAATGTGAACTGTCAGCTGTAGTCAACATTTTTTTTAAATGGTGGAAAAGACCTTTAACGGTTAACTGTGTCTGGACTGGAGAACTGAGTGGACATGCATGCTCGGAAAGCCTGCTGGATCAGATTGTATAAAACCCTGCTTCCCTCTGCAGTCTATCCTAACTGGGCGTGGAAGTTTGGGAAGTTTGTTAAAAGACATGGTTCTGTGTGGATGAGGCTTCCATATGCTGGTCTGGTGTGATCTGCATAAGGTGGTCTCCTCTCTTACATCCTTTCTGGGCGCTAGAGAAATCAGGGTCAGGACTCCTATAGAGATTCCACTTGAAGATACGCTTTATTTGATGCATTGCTTTCTGTGCTGTGTATCAAATAGGAACGAAAGGAGCTAGGTTATGGACTGTTATCCTGTGAGTGTGAATGTCATTTGGAACCCAAGATCATAGGTGGTTGTTTGGAATAGATGTTGCAACATTGCATCTCCACACCTCAGGCCTGCACATACCAGTCCTTCTTTCTAGAGCACCCTTTCACTACTTCTTGTCAACTTTGTTTTTTTCCCCAAATCTGGCTCAAATGTCATCACCCCACATTTGCTCAAACAGAATAATTCATTACCTCTCCTGTTCCCCCATAATGACTTGTTTATATTTCTCTCATCAGTTTTATTTCGTTGTTTGTATACATGTCTTCACCTATAGACTACATGCTCCTAAAGAACAAACATTTTGCATTTGCTGTATTTAGTATATTAGTAGCATATAGTCAACACCTGGAAACTTTTGCTGAGTCAATAAATGATTGTCAACTCGTTTGGAATTAAAGAATGGATGAAAGAACCTGGTACTTGTTATTTCTAAGCACAATGTTTGTTTACTTTCTTACCAACTTATAATTTGTGGTATATTTCTTGAAGCATAAGGACCATCAGATGAGGTTTTGAAATATTTCCTAAAAAGAATCTCAATGAAAACTCAAGGAGCATTTTTTTCTGAGTAATTAAAATTAGATAATCTTTTCATCTGTAGGAAAAAAATCCAACATTCTTGGTAAGACTTTCAAGGTATTTCGTAATCTACCTCAACCTTTCCAACCTCCATTCCCAACCTATTTTCCCGAGGCTCCTGTTCCTGCTTTAGCAAATACCTTCCTATTTTCTGTACAGATTGTGTTTTTTTCTACCTTACTGATAATGACCAGGTTTTTTTCCTAACTCCCATCTCTTCCCACTAACCCTCTCCACCTCTGCCCACTGAAATGCCACTGCACCAGGCCGTTAAAGGCCTGGCTGGAATGTTATCTTCTCTAATAAACCCCCTTTAGATTTCCAGTTGGAATTAATCGTTTTCCTGGGTTCCCCTGGCACCACCTTATGGTAGTCATGTACTGCCTTGTATCATAGATGCAATTACTCTAAGAATGCTGCAGTTAAAAGGTACATTAAATGTGAAGTTAAATGAATTGATAAAATGGTAAATGTATTTAGAAGCAAATGAACCCAGCTGAAGTTTTCATACTATTTTTTTTAAGTACAGATTTTTGAAATCTTACAAACTATTTTTTATAGAATATAATAACCATTGTTAGAGTTCTTAAGTAAATACTTGAGGTATAATTTAAATTAGGGAACATTTATTCCATTCTGCAGTTTGAACAAAAGAGAATTCCAAAATTTGAAACCTCTTAAAACTTTATGAACACTTGTAATGAAAGACAAATAGTGTACATTAGTTTAAGAATTTTCATATTTCCTATTTTTCCCCAGAAACCCTGTGATATAGACAGATTATCATACCTAATTTCTTTGGTGATTAAATCAGTTCAAGGAGTTTAGGTTCACCAAAATCAAATATTAAGTGGTAAAAACAGAATTTGAACTCAGGGTTGCCCAGGGTTTTTCTCATTCTAAGTACAGAAATGTTTCCAGAATACTGTGAGTCTCGGAACATCTCCTGGCTTGTTGGAGTAGGCCATTGAAAAGAATTTCCAAGTAGCTTTTGTTACCTTAAAGTGCTCCACTGAGCCTAACCGGCCGGGCCTTTCTTGGTCTGAATTATCAACATGAAACTTTTCTTTGACCTATCTCATTTCACTTAGCTAGTAAAATTTTCAGATTTTTCCTCCTACTCAGCAACAGTTTGGCAAATAAAATTCGTATCAATATATTGCAAATACTTCTGTGCTCATGTATTTATTTAATGGTCATTGAGATTTGTGAGCTTAAAGAAGGGCTGAAAATGTGGTTTGTATGAGCTTGTATTAAAAAATACACTTGAGCTTTTCCTAAAGCATAAAAGAAAGGATGATTTAACACAGTTTAGGATTCTTCAGAGAAAATGTGCTTTAGATCATTAGAAAACTTTTTTTTTTAAAAACTGAGGTATATGACATACTAGTAAGATACATTCAATGCTATTTGCTAATAAATTCTAGCTTCCACAAGGATTATAATGAAATTATTTTCTACTAGGTTTATTTGATAAAAACAACTGTCTTAATACAAAGACTTCTATCTGGTCCTATGGGGTGAGGGATAACACACTGGGCCATACCAAATTAAGCAATAAAGTTATTATCTCATAGCTATTCTTCATATTGTGTGTGCAGTATGCACCAGGTACTATTCTAAGCATTTTCTGTATATTACCTAATTCAATCCTCACACTAGCTCTCTCATAGCAGTAGTTTACTACTACTATCCCATTTTCTAGATAAGGAAGAAGACATAGTAAGCAGTTATAGTGAAAGATCTTCAAATATTTTATCAAGGAAGGAAATTTAAGGACAGTAGACTTATTACAAAGAGAAACAGCTCCAAGAAAACTAATTTTGTGTGTAGATCTGTATTATGAATCAGACAGGTATAGTCAGTTTGGACATTTTATGCTTATAAATTGTTGGTTCTAGAATAACCTAGAGAACATTTGAATTGATAAGATTCGACTAATAGACTCATAAAAATTGTAAAACTTGGTGAAATATACATGAAACATTATTTTTAAACAAACTGCTTATTAAAGGCAAGGAGAGTGTTAGTAAAGAGCTTAGAGGGCTAGATTAGAATAAAATTGTCTCTCCCCATCTGCTCTAATTAGCTTATCTCTCCTGCTTTCATAGCATGCTGAAGAGAGAAGAGTGAGGGTACTTTGAAAGGACACCGTTTTTATTTATGCTCATTTATAATGGTTTTGGAATGTTTGCCAATTCTCAAACATAAATTTTTAAATGTTAGATTTTTCCTGTAACAATTTGTTACTGGAAGCTTCAAGGCTTTGGGTGCTCAGTTAAGAATTTTGGTCTTTCCTCATCTCTTTGGTTTTGGCCAAATGATTATGTTTCCTCATTCTGGGAAGATTTCTTTGGGTATTTTGATATTTGTCCTGATAGAAGAAAACCTTTCATCATTAACAGGTACTTTAAAATTGATATTATTTTTATCCTTTTTTATATCTATAATGTATTCTCTGTAAAAATAATATTTGATGTGACTGCTATAAGAAATTGAATCAAATACTATTCTATTAATCTTTGATATTGATTCATTTACACTGTTTTAAGAGCTCTGATAATTTTGGTTTTCCTCTTCGTTAGTATTTCCTGATTCAAAACTTACTTCCTTTTACCTCTTGTATGAAATTGGATGTATACTTGACTTCAATAACTAACAATCTGGAAACGAGGGAGTAGGAGTTAAATGGAGAAAAGATTGAATACTTCACTCCTCTTCTCCTTAGGCACCCATGTCTATAATCTGAGATCGACTTGAAAAATCCTTATGTGGCACAAATGTCCGTTTTTTTTGTTGCCTTACAGTTTTTCTTTGTTACCTTTCGTACTGTATCTTCATTTATCACCAGAAGCCTTGTTTATGCCTTCACTCTGTAGCACAGACCTACTTATCTTTAGAAGAAACCCAAGAACCCACCAGTACAGTTTCTTTTCTCCCGACTGGCTCAGAATCCGCAGACTCTTCCCTGTCCAGTGGAAACAAAGGACCTCGGGACCACAGAGAAGCTGAGAGACACTGGTTGCTTAGAAGAAGGCGATCCACTCTGTTCCCTAATGGAGTAAAAATCTGCCCTGATGAAAGTGTTACAGAGGCTGTGGCAAACCATGTGAAATATTTTCAAGTCCGAGGTAAGCCAAGATCCAAATCCTTGGGCTCTGTAATGGCATTCAAACATGGTTTTATCACATTTGTTGTGTCTCATTATAATTCACAATTTGTGATCATTTAGATAGGGACTGAGCCGAATATCTTTCTACTAGCTATGGATAAGGGACTTGCTAAGGATATAGTATTCATACACCTTTGGAGGAAAGTTGATATTTTTTAACTAGAGGAAATGATTTAATTCTTTTTAAGCACTTTAAAAATACCAGTTTCTGTTATGGGATAAATGAATTATAATTTTTACTTCTTCATTACAGTAATTTGCCTAAATATACCAAAAAATATATTTATGAAGCTATACTTACCTATTTGACTAATTAGTTACTTTATATACATAAAATATCAATTTTTGTATTTTATAGTGTAGACATTCTATAGACTCATACTGCTTATTCTCTGGTTGGTACACATAAAACTTTGACATCTAGAATGATGGCACTTCTCACAAGAGACCTTATTGCAACAAAACTAGGATTTTATTTTATTTTTAGCTAAACATATTATCCTTAATTTCATACCTTTTTATTATGTGAAGTCAGTCTCTGTTTCCTCTGTTTACTAACCAAAATTGCTTAATTGACCATAACATATCCCTTAGATATTTGGAGGACTCCCAAACTTTGCTTTTTGCCCCTCAAGAACCAATAAAAAGCCATTATATAGATGTGATGCTAATAAACTAAAGTGGAGAAAGATGATGAAATGATGCTGAAACCAGGCTTGCTCATTCATGTTTAAATATTCAATAAATATTTATTTAGCACTTACTGTTTTTCAGGCACTGGGCTATATGAAGCTTCACCCTGAGCTGCTACTTTATCTTCTCCTTATTTTCCTCCATTTTGTCCTTCCCCTTGTCCTCCCTCACTAAAGCACGTGTTTAAAAAAATAACAATAACAGATATTACATATATTTATATATTTGTTTTTTTGTTTGTTAAAGTGGCATAATGTGTTAGCACCTTTTATTTTTTTGGAGAATATTTATATCTCTTGCTTGTATTTGGGCCTATCAAACATTATTAAGCAATAAGCTTCCCTTTTACTTTTTGAATGGAAATCCTTTGGCCTGGCCTTTTGTGTATAGGACATATGCCAGAAATAGCAAATTCCAGAGAAGACAATAAAGGAACTGAAGATGAATGAGAGTGACAGTTTATAATTTATGAAAATACAATTTCTACTACCTGGATTTAAAAAAACATTATTTTAAAGTTGACCAGAATATCTAGATAGCTGCTTGTTAAATTGAAGAGGAAATAATCATAACCAAAGGAATGTGGTTATTATGCCTTTTAATTGCTTTATTCTTGTGTTTATAAACTCACAAGATACTATTGATAAAGAAGCCAACAAAAAGAAAAATAAAGCATTCCTAGAATAACTAACTTTAAAATACAGATGCTATGAAGGATTATTGGAAAGGCGCCTTCTAACACTAAAACAGCTGGGACAGTACATCAAGATTGCAACAATGTTGATATAACTGTTCCTGTCATGGTGTTGAGTATATATCTCATTTGTTATATTTTTAAAAATTAGGAAAAATTAATATTTCAACCTAGATCTTGATTTTAAAGACATTTTTGAGGAGACAATTGGATTATGTCCTTAGAACCAAGGGTTTGGAAATTGGAGAGATCCATTTAATGTCCAACCAATGATCTTAGCTCTTTCCACAAAGCTAACTCAATCTAACGATTTGCTCAATTTTTCCTTCATAGAGTATTTGGTATCATTGCTACTTGGTATAACAGTTTTGAAAAATATCTCTATATAAGGAAGAAGCAACTATATTTAACCTAATGATTTGTAGAATTAAACAGATATTTAGGTTGGTTAGAGTAGAATGTAATTGATAGTATCTTTCTCTCTTTAATACCTGGGGTTAATATACCCACACTTTTTACTGATCATCTATCTAAATACACCTCAAATACTTTTCCTGCACCCCCTCCAATTTTTTTTTGGAAATAACCAGAAATACTCATGATTCATTTACAGGCACAAAGATGTAATCTTTATTAAAGATTGTAGTTGGACCTTTTAAAATATGGTTTTATTAAGACATATTTTGATGGATTATAAACCACATATTTAAAGTATACAATTTGATTAGTTTTCGCAAATATATTTACCCTTGATATTATCACTTCAATTAAGATAATGAACTTATCAATCATCCCCAAACATTTTCTTATGTGCCTTCCCTCTCTTACCACTTCCATTTACCTCAGTACTGGGGCAGCCACTAATCTACTTTCTATCATTATTTAGTAGTTTGCATTCTATGCTTTTTTACATAAATGTAATCACACTATGTACTCTTGTTTTTGTCTGGCTTCTTTTACTAAGTGTAATTATTATTTTGTCTAGTTTGTCATTTTATATTGGAATTTTATATTACTATTTAAAGATTGGAAATAGACTGTGTCTTAGGCAGATAAGAAGAAATTGTACATTTTGGATAGTAACCCATTATCAGATGTATCATTGGCGATTATCTTTTTTCCATTCAGTAGATTGTCTTTTTATTTTGTTGATGATGGTTTCCTTTGCTTTGCAAAAACTTACTAGTTTGATGTAGTCCCATTTGCTTATTTTTTCTTTTATTTCCCTTGCCCAAGGAAATATGTTAGAAAAAATATTGTTACAAGATATGTCTGAGATTTTACTGCCTACATTTTCTTCTAGGAGCTTTATGGTTTTGAGTTTTGCATTTAAATCTTTAATCCATGTTGAGTTTATTCTTGTGTATGCTGTAAGAAAGTGGTCTAGTTTCACTTTTTTGCCATTTGCAACAGTATGGATGGACCTAGAGGGTATTATGTTTAGTGAAATAAGTTAAATAGAGGCAAACACTATATGCTTTCACGTATATGTGGAATTTAAAGAACAAAATAAACAAACAAACAATCTAGAAACTGACTCAGGTACAGAGAACAGACTGATGGTTGCCAGAGGGGGTGGAGGTTGGGACCTGGGTGAAAAAAGGTAAAGGGATTAAGAAGTACAAATGGGTAGTTACGAAATAGTCACAAGGGTGTAAAGTACAGCACAGAGAATACAGTCAATCCTATATAATAAAAGGCTAATATGCAAAGTGACTGAACAGCAGAATGACTGGTAGCTATGATATGCACTGGCCACCAGGGGGCAGACACTCAATGCAGGAGCTGCCACCTGGTGGTCAGTGCGCTCCCACAGGGGGAGCGCCACTCAGCCAGAAGCCCGGCTCACGGCTGGCAAGCACAGTGGCAGTGGCTGGAATTTCTTCCACTTTCACTGCAGTTGGACATCCCCTGAGGGCTCCTGGGCTGCCAGAGGGATGTCTAACTGCCAGCTTAGGCTCAATTACCTGGGGAGCAGGCCTAAGCTGGCAGGTGGACATCCCCCAAGGGTTCCCAACCTGCGAGAGGGCACAGGCCAGTCTGAGGGGCCCCCCCCC